TATATATATTTATAATGTTTTTAAGTTATGCTCACTTATACCCATAAAAGTTCCCTTTAATCAAAAAATGTTCATTAAAATGACTCAAAAAGAACATGTTATGTTATTTGAACGTTCGGGTTTACAGTGTATAATTCGTCTGTCTACATCTCCAAAGCTCAAAATGCTCTGTTCCACCTTGTGATGTCATGAAATGGTAGTTAACAGGTAGTTCTAGATAACAGAAACTGGCAGAGCTGAAATGATCAAAATGATAGTAGTGTAAGAGTATGGCATTCAGAAACACTGTGCTGTGCTTTCTGTTTGAGAGAAGAACTCAGCCCAAATATGCAGGGTTTGTGTTAAACTTGTGTGGATGAAACACAACACAACTCCAAGTCTTAAACACAACACAACACAACTCCAAGTCTTAAACACAACACAACACAACTCCAAGTCTTAAACACAACACAACACAACTCCAAGTCTTAAACACAACACAACACAACACAACTCCAAGTCTGTTTGTAACACTACATCCTAACATAGATCAGAAAATAACCACATGTGGGATTATTAAAGGTTGACCATGAGCAGCTGAATGGGTTTCTCCACAGTACTCAATGTTAATGTTGTTTCGTGCAGGTTTTGCAATGTTTGCCACCACCTTGGCCATCTCTTTAGGGGGCATAACTGCATCCAGACATCTCCACGGTGACCTGCTCCAGAACGTTCTGCGCTCTCCCATGGCATTCTTCGAGAGCACGCCCAGTGGGAGCCTTCTGAACCGCTTCTCCAAAGAGATCGACGCCATCGACTGCATGATCCCCGACGGCCTCAAGATGATGCTGGGTTACCTGTTCAAACTGCTCGAGGTGTGCATCATCGTGCTCCTGGCCACGCCCCTCATTGGACTGGTGCTCCTCCCACTGGCTGTGCTGTATGTCCTCTTCCAGGTAACAAGGCCCTGTCCCTAAAGGGCCCATATTACATTATTTTCTGATCTATGTTGTACTGTACTTTCCTTGTTACAAACAGACCTGGAGTGTTGTGTTTTATTTCATTCACACATGTTTAACACACAAATCATGGATGTTTAGGCTGAATTCTTCTTTCAAAGAGAAAACACTCCACATTGTCGACAGAGTTTTTAAACTCTTTACACCTTCACTAGAATCATCTGAGTAATTTCAACCCTGAAATTACTAATCTCTTCTGAACTAAAGGTAAAAGGAGCTGTTAACTTGAAAACTACTGCTACATGACATCACAAGGTGGAACAGAGCATTTGGAGCTTTGGAGATGTAGGCAGACTAATAATAAATAGTTACTCAAACATGTTTGAAAGAAACAAACACAACTCCAGGTCTGTTTTTAATGAGGCACCAATATGGCCCATGTACCATTTGTTCTTTTGAATTTCAATTAAGAACGAAAAACAATAAAATAGGAAAACAGTTTGTTATTTCATTATTCGGTTTTACTGTCCAACAAAAAAATTATTTTGACCTCTATTTCTAGTATTTAATGTTAAAGTTTAATTAAATAACATCAATTAAAAAAAAACTAAAAAAAAAACAAAAAAAACATTGTGCCTATTTGAATTTGGATATTTTAATTTCTCTGGTTTATTTGCCCCGGAATTGTTGCTGCTAGAAGGACTTACATGAGAAATCGTTGCAATTTTGTTCAGTTGACCCCATAGAACTATAATAAAATATATTTTTTTTAATTATAGATCCATGGTTGACACTGCAGCAGAACTTCCAGGGAGAGAGAGAATAAAATATCAAAAATAAAATAGGTTTTTGATTGGTGTTATGTGAAATAAACTTTTTGGAATAATATTGGAAATAAAAAACTCTTTTTTTGTTTGACACTAAAACGGAATAATGAAATATCAAACTGGTTTCTCATTTTATTCTGTATTGTTCTTAACTGAAATTCAAAAGAACAAATGGTACACGGACCCAATGTTCTAACATGACTTACAGTTTTTCTCCGTTTCTTCCATTTCTTGAAACAGAAAGGACATTCTTAAAACTATAAGATCATTAGGCCAAACTGTTCTGTACAACATGACAGCTCAGCAGCAAAAGCTCATATCTCTCCCAAAACTGTTCACACATGATTCAAAACAGATTCTTTTCCCATATAAAGAGTCAGGAGCATCAGAATTGCAGAGATCCTTCTCAGTTGCTTTGGCTCTTTTACAGTAGCTCAGTGCTTTTGTCAAAATAACCTGGATGGTTCAGCACAACACCATGGATCACCTGCAAAAACTCCTTTCTCATAGAAACAGTCATTGCCCCAAATTGCATCATCCCTTTGACCTTGTGTCACTGCAGCTCAAAATGCTTAGATGTTTTGTCACCATGGCAGAGGTCAAACTAACACAATACAATTATGGATAAAAATGAAAAAAAGGATTTCATAGTAAGAGCCTCCAAAATTTGACATCACACACACTGCTCTCACACTTCCACACATCAGAGTACATGAAAAGAAAATGTATACAGTATTCTGTACATGTACCAAATATAAACACAAAAAAAAAAGAAAAAAAAATGTAGCCCATGTAATCAACTCATGGGCTCATTGTGTAAACTGTAGGTGACTTGTACAGAACCATTTGCAAAGATGCACTGAGACACTTGAGACATGCACTAAGACATTTGAAATTTGATGAAATCAGTGAGAAATGTCATTCTGTTGTGAACGACTGTAAGGTAGTTTGGAGATTTGTCCATGTTGTTTTGTGAATGTCATTTCTGTTTCAAGAAATGAACCAAACCAGTGGAGAAAAACTGTAAATCTCACAATACTCAATTTTGCATAATATAGGACATTTAAGTCATCATCGTTATGACCAGTCGGGCTTGGTGAGAAGCTTTGGTGAGAGAGAAGCTTTGGGCATCCAGACCACAGATCTGTAAATAGATCTACACAAAATCAAGTCCATTGATACTGCAGTGAAAAAGTGTTTTTTTTTCCTGTAGAGCACAATGGAAACACAAACTGCTTGTGTCCTGCTGATCAGCTGATTAGAATAGTTGAATTTTGTGGTAATTTTTGCCTATCTTCAAATCATGAAAATGCTGCTAAAGGCTCCAGGGTCGTTTGACAGTTTACAGCGCAGCTCTGATTTTCAGCCCAAAGTTTGTAATGTTGAAAATGTGTTAGTCAAAGTCTGGAATGATTAAGAACAGAGACTGTGTGCCATTGAAGGAGCTCTTTGACATATTTTAAAGCTACAGCACATCTGACCATACCCATCTCATAGGATGAATATGAAATATGTTCTTTACTCACAGTTCCGAATGGTTACAGGCTCTTTTTGTAGTGTGTAGACCAGGTTCAGTGACTTTGTTGTTTGCAGAGGTTCTATGTGGTGTGCTCCTGTCAGCTGAGGCGTTTGGAGGCTGTCAGCCGCTCTCCAATCTACACTCACTTTAACCAGAGTGTCCAGGGAGCAGCCGTCATCAGAGCCTTCAGAGAGCAGGAGCGCTTCATCCTGTTGGCCAACCAACACATCGACACCAACCAGGAGGCCTACTTCCCTCGCTTTGTGGCTACCAGGTCAGAGCACACCGGGTCAGAGCACACCGGGTCAGAGCACACCGGTTCAGAGAACATCAGGTCAGAGAAGACCAGGTCATAGAACATCAGGTCAGAGCACACCAGGTCAGAGCACAGCAGGCCCACTCTAAAGGACACAGGAATGAACACACAACATAAAGGAACATTCACGAAATGATTTCTTTCTTTTTAGGATGACAGAAAAGTCCATTAGAGATATTAAACATAAACCAGGTGAAAACATCTACACTTAGTGTTAAAAGGTAAATTATAGTATTGTAAAAGCAAATTATATTATTGAATTCCTCCACCTTAATTTCAAACAGCATCACTGGAAAACTGTAACGTCACGTGAACTGAACCTCATCAAATAAATAGACAGTCAGACAGATAAATACTTTATTGGTCCCCAGACGGGGAAATTCAGGTGTCAGACTCTTTATAAGTTGCACTTGAAAAGTCAGTATGCTTCCTTTACTGTCTCAGATCTGGTCATGTGTCCAGTTCTGCGCTGCACACGCTGGTTTGTTAATGCTGCTGTTCATGTGCGTGCTTGTGTGCTGCAGGTGGCTGGCCGTAAACCTGGAGTTTCTGGGGAACCTTCTAGTGTTGGCTTCTGCTCTCTTCTCTGTGCTCGGGAAAAATGAGCTGAGTTCTGGAATAGTGGGGTTGGCCATTTCTCATTCTCTGCAGGTACAGGAATATTTAATATCCACCACAATATAGGTACTATTCTTTTTTCTTGTGTGAAGTCAATGATTGTTTATATGTTCTTATCTTATGATATGGTGTGTGCGTGTGCAGGTGACAGGTGTGCTCAGTTGGATCGTCCGCTCCTGGACAGATGTGGAAAACAACATTGTGTCTGTGGAGAGGGTGAAGGAATACGCCCACACGCCCAAAGAGGTGCATACTAATCAGCCTCTCATTTAAAGGAAAACAACCCCCCAGAGCCTAGACACAGGGGGTGGAGTCTAGACAATGAGGGAGGAGCCTATACACTGAAGGTGGTGCCTAGACACGAGGGGTGAAGGACAAACACCTTCATGAACTATAAAGCTGAAAGGCATGATGGGAAATGCAGTACTGTCAAACACGTGCACTCACAGCTGACTGACAGATGATATGTTTTGACGCTCTGCAGTGCGGAAGCGCTCCTCCCTCATCTTTCTTCATCTTTTCTATGTTTATATCAACACAGATGAGTAAAAGAGAAATAAATAGACAGAAAAGGGTCCTGGGGGGTGGAGCCTATAGACACTGGGGGTGGAGCATAGACACTGGCAGGTGGAGCCTATAGGCATTTGAAATGTAAACGAGTGTGTGTTTTTGAGGCCCCCTGGAGGTCAGAGCCCGGGGCCCTGTCTCCGCTGTGGCCCTCTTCAGGCTCCATCAGCTTTGAGGACTTTGGACTGCAGTACCGCCAAGGCTTAGACTGGGCCCTCAAAGACATCACCCTCCACGTCCAAGATGGAGAGAAGGTAACAACCGCTACCTACACGTGTCACTATATTTACTGTGAATCTTTACAGTTTGCTTTCAGTATTTTCTGAAGGAATTAAAGGCCAGGATCAAATGCAGCCATTTACAGTAAACATGATGGTGATGATCAGATGACCAGAGATGGTTATGTTAAAGTTACACCTTGAGGAGAAAATGACATCAAGAATTCTGTAAAATAAGAGGATTCTTATTTAAATGTAACCCAGGACTGTGATTTTTGCTACTCCTTTTACATTTAGTAACAATCCATTTGCATTTTATTTTGGTCTGAGTGTAGGAATTTAAATATTTTGGTGGTCACAATTGTGGGAAAGAGCGAGCTTGCATTTTTCTTTGCATACAAAAAACAGATATGACTATCCCCACTTTTTTATTAGTTTATAATTATTTAAGGGACATTTTTGATGTTGGTTGTTCAATATATAACACCACAGTGGCCTGGTGGATAATGTCCAACACTACTCTACACATTCTCCATTCTCCACCCTCATCTATTGAAAAGGTAAGGTCCTGTAGCTGCTAAAGAGACATCTAAAGGTCCTTTAGCTTCTACAAGGACCAGTGTGAAGAACATCTGAGGTCCTTATGTATAAGTGAGAACTGCATCTAAGTCATTTTCAGTATAATTTCACTGAGCTAAGACTGTAATGACTTGATAAATCTATCTCAGTGAAAACAATACTCTCATAATAATGCTAAACTGTCACTGCTTTTGACCTCGAGTCACTAAGATAGTGACACACACATGTATATTCAAAGTTATTTCACATGAATGAATGAAGCTTTACTGTTTAAGATCGTTACTTTTACTTGTAGTTTCCCCAGATATATTTAATTGTCTTTGTTATTTAAAGTAAGCTCATTCTTTTTGAGTAACTCCAAGTCTCCAAGTCACACACTTAAACATTCCTCTGATCTGGGCAAGATTTTAAAACTTACATCAGGTTTCTCATCTTGTTTTCAGATTTATTATCTACTTGAATTTGATTAATTCTAGTCTAGAAGTCATTTATTTCAACATAACTTGTGAAGTAAAATGATCTTGCTGCATGGACAAATCATTTCACTACTTTTAAGTCATTTTCTGATAGATTTAAGTGTTTATATCTTAAATTTTGGCCCAGCTTTTTTGCACTGCTCTACACATTCAGTATGTCTACTTCTCCCCATCACTGACACTTGGCTCCAGTCTCTGTATAAGACTGTGTGACTAAAGCTCTACTGCGGCACTTTGAGAAGTTTCAGTCTGAGTTAATATTAGTGTATTAGTTACTCTGCCTGCTTCACTCACATTTCTGTAAAAGCTGTGATTAGGCCTGTCACGATAACAAACATTTGTTGTTTAAGGAAATATTGGAGATAAACAATACATATCATGCAACATACACAGTAACCCACACAGGATTATTTCTGAGTCATAGAAGTTATTTATTAACCCTCTACAGCTATTGCAGTGTTGTGTACTACAGAGAAAAGTACCCACAATGAATGTTTTATCTGTCATAAGTCTCTATAGTAATTACTGAGACATGTTTATGTGATGTCACCTGAAAATGAGTTAACCCAATATGAAGTTGCCGGTAACTCAGCCCATGAGTGGCTCCACTGACCTTCAGAGTAATACAAGCATGAGACACGTCGCATCATTCAGTGTCATCCTTTAGTCGATCAAATGAACTCTGTAATTACATTGAGCAGCGCTGGAGTCCTATTACCGACCATTCCCAGTAACAACATGATCAATGTCCATGGCTCGTGTCCCCGTGTCCATGGCAACAGGCTCCGGAACCGAGGGACAGCGTGGAGAGGGAGGTCACAACATCACAAGACTACAAAAGTGTCCACATGTCTACACAGCTGTTTTTAAACAGAAGTTTCTTTGCAAACACAAGAGAAGAGATGAGGGACAGTGATGAGCCAGTTTCAGAGGTTGTTACAATATCTGCCATTTTTAAATCCACTTATTCTTGCATTTCTTTTGGCAAAGTAAATACACAATACAAAATGGACCCAAGGCTAATCAAATCCTTCTTTCCAATGTCTAACCAAACATGTCTCTTCTCTTTACAAACTAATGTGTACAGGGTAAAACAAATACAATTTGCATCTTGTCTTTAGAAGTACATTATATCAATTCAGTTCCCTGTAAAATCCTCAAGTACTTTCTCCCTAAGTTAGAAGGCTAAGGGTAAGGTGCATGTTATCCTCCCTATAAGGACATTTGTCCTCTGCATTTGACCCATGTTTCAGTGATAATGGGGCTACCTGTCAGGAGCGTTGGGCAGTGCACAGAAACCCGTGTCCAGATCTTGAGCTGGTCTTGGTCCAGACTATCTTAGCTGGAGGATTTGACCTGTTGTTCATGTTTTGATTGATGGGGGAAAGTGAAGTGCCTGAAAGAAGCCCACATAAACATAAGCAGAACATGCAAATTCTCAAGCACCCGGGAGTTGAACCTGGAATATTTTTGATTTGAGGCAAATGTGCTACCCACTCAGCCACAAATAGTATAATGTGTGGCCTCTGGTGTGGGCCCTGTGCCCTAAAATATACATAAGTACAGTACTTTACTACTTTTACTTTGTTATGTTCCACCACTGCATCCAATACAGCTTAAGAACAATGATAACTGGACACAAAAGCCACCTGAAGAGCACCAGCCACAGTGACAGTGTTCAGTTTGGACACTAGAGCCAACGTGCGACATTCAAAAGTTCAGTACTTTAACTGAAGTGACTTAAGTTGAGTAACTTTTACTTGTACTGTGTACAAGTAAAACTGAACATGTTTATCTTCACTTCACCGTGATATAATTATATGATTTATGGATGAAAAAGAAGAATGACACATGTTTCAAAATAAAGTGTGTGAAAGCCTGTGTGTGCCTGTTCTGATGTGGTTCCTGGGCGTTCCTGTGCTGTAGATCGGGATCGTTGGTCGGACTGGAGCAGGAAAGTCCTCCCTGGCTCTGGGACTCTTCAGGATCCTGGAAGCTGCGAGTGGGAGAATCTGCATCGATGGAATTGATGTCTCCCTCATAGGCCTCCACGATCTGAGGTCCAGATTAACCATCATCCCCCAGGTCAGTGAACGAAACGCGCACACATCTGCATTTCCATCAGTACTCCTGTGATCCAGACAAAGACTTTCTTTATTTAACCTGGACAAACCCAAAAGCCTTTGTTTCCACTCGCTGACTTTGGAGCAAGTCAATACAGACTTCAAATGTCTCCACTGTGCACATAGACACACTCCACACACGTACCCGCACACGCACACACACGCACACACACACAGATCCACACACACCCACTTCACACAGACCCACTACACACAAACCTGCTCCAACTGTATCAATGTAAGAGGCTAATGACAATCCTGATCAAACCATTTTATAATTGTCACAAAAAAAAAGTTTTCTAACACGCAAGTCTGTGGAATTAACTTGTTTTAGATGAATATTGTGTGTTTGACGCGTGTGTGTTGTGTGTGTGTGTCTCAGGACCCTGTGCTCTTCTCTGGAACCCTCCGTATGAACCTGGACCCGTACGAGACGTGCTCTGACTCTGCTCTTTGGGACGTGCTGCACCTGTCCCACCTCAGCACCTTTGTGTCCAGCCTGCCCCACAAGCTGGAGCACCTGTGCAGTGAGGGTGGAGAGAACCTCAGGTCAGTGTGTGTACATGTGTGTGTGTGATATAGTACCCGTGTGTGTGATATACCTGTGTGTGTGAGTGCAGTGTGGGTCAGAGGCAGCTCCTGTGTCTGGCCCGTGCCCTGCTGAGGAAGAGTCGTGTTCTGGTGTTGGACGAGGCCACAGCCGCGGTGGACCTGGAGACCGACCGCCTCATCCAGTCCACCATCCGCACGCACTTCAGGGAGTGTAGTGTGCTGACCATCGCCCACCGCCTCAACACTATACTGGACTACAACAGGTCTGAGTACACACACGCTCACACACACACACACACTCATACACATGCTCACACACACAGACGCTCGCACACACACGCAGACACATGCACACACACATGCCTATACACACGCTCACACACACACACATACACACACATGCTCACACACACACCCTCACACACATTTGGCATCTTAAAAACATTTAGTCTTTTAATGACTATTATTTTAGTGGATTGGATATTTTGGTAATATTCGATCATTTCAAACACACTCGAGCAGTTTGAAGCATTTGGATTGAATCTTAGCCTTGGTTATATCTCTCACTTTCAGTGATTAGTTTGTCGTTAAAATGAGTTTTGACATTGACTTCTGTCATATAAATAAGTAGTAAAAGCACCACTCTTTTGAATGGCTCTTTGAGATGAACAGATCCACAAGCTTTGGATCTAATGAAAGAGCCAAATGTCCCATCACTAAGTTGTTATACATATAAATTTAAATCCACCTGAAGTGAGCTTAGGAGTTCTAAATATGTGGTGTTTCTGCCTCCTGTTACTTCTGCAATACTATAAAATAAGCATTCAAAATAAAGTGATGAAACACAGTGACACATGAACTATTGTTTAGAAAAACATATATGTAGAAGCCAGGGTGGGATTTGGAATCTGAAAAAACTATATTTTGTCATCCTATGCATTCAAATGGCTTTCAAAAAATTAAGAAGCAACGAAAAGGTGAATGGCTTAATCTATAGCCTCCATGTAGCAGTCAGTTTCAAAAGGACACACACTTGGCAGAAATAAAACAGAAATGAGAAACATGCCTCATTTAAACTACAATATGTGTCTCAACATACAAACTGCTACAATGGAGAGAGATGCAGTTATCAAACCACTCAAAGTGATCATGCTATAACATACAGATACATACAGATAACATTACTAACGTATTTGGGACTAATTCCGGAACTAAACCAGGACAAGAGCAGATCCAAAGCAGGTCTACCATCTGGACTGAAAGTGGGCTGAAACCAGGATCCAGCAGGGACAAATGTGAGTGCAGCCTTAGATTTCAGCTGTATCTAATGGATTCTGGTGTATCCATTTGTCCTTAAGGAAGCATCCAATTGAAATCTTTTTAACAAAAGGCTGGAGTTCAGTTGGACTTCAGGATACCCACCAAGGTCATTGGAGGGGTGATTTTAAGGTTCAAGAGAAGAATAGGGTAATTGGCGCTGTACTTTGGCTTTAGCAGAGGTTTTGTTGTAAATGAGGGAGAGGTAGTTTTACATCATCATAGTTTTTACATACACCAGCTTCTGCTTGTGGACTCTGCTTCTCTCCCCAGGGAGGGCAGGGCCTACTGAAGACCGAAACAACAGGAGCTTAGGTGGAGGAGTAGAAGGTCACCCAGTGGAGCTCTTGTAGGGGGCAGGGTCATTTAATGGGGAAACTGCCAAATAAATTTTTTTTTTAAAAATGCCTGAAAATCAGTTTTTGCTTTGTTCACACATGACCCTGTTCATTTGATTTAAAAAAATCAAAAACAAAGCAAATTTAGAAATCAGTAAATGTGTTTGTTTCATTCATTTGATCTGTGCATAATAAATAATAATAATACATTTTATGCTACTCAGTCCTCGTCAGTCAAGCCATAGAGAGCTAGAGCCAGGAACAGTGACAACAAAAAATATAACCCCAAAATTGTATTTAAGCCTGACAAATAAGATAATTTGTGTTTTAAGTATGTAATACAGTATATCTGTGCATAAAAATAAAAAGTAGATGTATTTGTCCAGTACCAACTTAAAAGTCAAGATTTTGCCTTAATCAAAAATGCTAAGTGTGTTTAATAATCCAGCCCATCTGAATAATCTCTTATTGAACATGATGATAATTCTTAAAGATACTTCTGACCACACTCCTTCTCCCGGGAGTATACAGTACACATTGCTGTAGTTACATTCTTATCATCTTCTACTACATGGAGTCTGTACCACACGTGTTATGAACAAATCCATAGCCTCTCACGGACTTTTGCCTTCTTGCTAATGATGTTAACTAAAACATACTAAGCATTTTCATACAAGTGGAAATCTGGTGCAATAGAAGTTTGAATTGAAACTCATTTAATCCTGTCTCTGATGGATGGCAGCAGGAGCTCCAGTTGAAATCTAAGGCTTTGTCCTGCTTTAAACAATCATTTCACTGGATGAAGCGGCGCTTCTGCGCTTCTGGAGTCAGTTTAACCAAAAGGTGAAATTCTATTAGATATTAAAATATCAGCATGAACTGTGGCTTTAAGCTGCACATGAGCCTGGAGCAGAAGCACAGGAGGTCAGGTCGGGCAGCAGTCAACAGAGATAAACACACCACGATGCACAGGCTCCTTTGGGTGCTTGTGTGGCCTGTGGGTGGGTTTCTGATGAGCACATGACCTCTGATATCCACACTGTATACAAGACAGAGTAAAGCCAGGAGCACATGACCTCTGACCTCTCTGGCCTACAGGGTGGTGGTGATGGACCAGGGTTCAGTTGTGGAGATGGCGCCCCCTGCAGTTCTCCTCCAGCAGCGTGGACATTTCTACAGGATGTGTGCAGAGGCCGGCCTGGTGTAGCCACAACAACTGGATCTGGACCTGTCAGTGTGGCTATATGTTTACAAATCTTGTATTTATTCCAATTGCAGCAGTGATACTTTGCAGCTGATGTCATCATCATTCCTGGGGGGAAGGTGATGCTAACTAGAGGCACTGTGTTGTCTGAAAAGCTCTTTTACTCAAATTAGATTTAATCTGAGTTTTGTTTTAACACGATCTGACCAGAAAGAGCTGAACTACAACACATGAGATGTTTTATGTTGTGTGTCTCTTTCATGGAAAGTCACTGCAAAGTATCAACTGGTGTTTTTCAGATTCTAGAATATAATGATGTCAAACTCTCAGATGGGGCACAGACCGATTTCTCTACTGACAACAAATGTTGAACTTGATCATGTCTATTAGAGATTGGACCAAACACAAATCTGCATTTGAACAATACTATAGTAAATGTGTGATGACATTATAACATTGTGTTTGAAGAATATTTGTGGTACAGTATTTTTCATGATTTTGCAATAAAAGTCAATTATTATAAATAAGAATCGCAGTAGATTACAGTGTTTCTCATCGTCTCATACTGAGACGATGGAGGCACATGCAATCCATATGTGAAACTTTTGATTTAATACAACATCTGGAGTGTAAAGTTCACCTTTACCTCTACACATCAAGTATACGCCTGATCACAGAGTAAATATACTTTATAGTCCTAACAGTTCTACAGGTGTATTACTCTGTTTTGTAACACACACTTTTACACCACGGAGGCAAAAATCTGATTATGGAGCCATCTCCTCTTTTAATGGGAAACACTGCTTCACTTTGTAGAATATGATGATTTTCAGAAGTTATGAGCATCTTACTGCAGTTCCATTGTGTGGAGAACCGTCAGTTTTGTTTCATATATAGAGTATAGAGGAAAGATCTTTTTTGTACAGGTTTGTATAGGTGCAATTGCAGTGTTGCAACAGGCAGTGTCACAACAGCTGCAAGAAATTAAGAATGTCATAATATATTGTCCATAAAGGATTGAAATTGGCCCTTGGGGTAGCACCATGTTCTAAACTTAGTTATCGTGGAGTAATTGCTCTTGTAGACAGGATACATGTCATGTTCATTATTTTAAAATGAAAAAATCTCCCACAGATTTCTGAGTGTAAAGGTGCGTGCTCTTCCAGGGGCATAATCTATAAATCCTGGAGCTGTAGGTGCACGCACCCCCTGCAGTGTTCAAAAACTGGAGCAAGTTTTCTGCTCATGTTCATCACACGGTAATGAGCTTATAAAAATATGCAGAGGTTTACTCTGCCAGTGGGAATGCGCGCACACACGTACACGCACGTACGCGCGCACTCACAAACGCTCACGTTGGGTTTCCATGCTTCTTGGGGACATAACGTTAACGTCCATTCATTTCCTGCAGGCTGACCTTAACCTTGTGCCTTGAAGTAAACCCTGACCGTAACCTGTCTGACCCCAGGTCTCAACTTTAAAACATGCTGTTGATCTAACAGCAAAGGTTTGGCGTCATGGGACTGAGTTTTGTCCTCATACGTGAGGCAGAACTACAAAATGTGTCTGTGTGCAGCATTTAGTCCCCACAACGTCATAAATACCCACACGCACACACACTCATATGCCAGACATCTGAGCGCGTGCACGGAGCACTGAAAACAACTAGAGTGTGGTGCAGTGGAATAGGCCTATACATGTGGGTCGGTTAAACACAGGGTCACAGTGTCCCAGGACCAGGGCAGAGGACTCCACTCTTCTGGACTCCGCTGTTTTTGGAGGCGCTGCTAGATCCAGTATCAAGAAGTTGTGGGGTTTTGCGGTTAGTGAGCTCAGACTGTGATTGGTCCACTCCCAAGTCAGTTCTGTGAGGGGGAGGGGGCGAGTGTACTCCGGTCCAAGAAACCTGAGACTTTGTCAAAGTGGGATACGCGCTAGACGTGGACTGTCCCCGGGGTTTGGAGAGGGATGTCCGAAGGCTGGAGGGAACAGACACGTATGGAATAAAACTTTTTGAGTCCGGTGGAGTCCAAACTTTTGGCTGCTTTGTCCCGGGAGCGGCGGTGGCTCTGGTTCTTCTCACACGTTTCACACCTCTTGGCTCTGTACTGTCCGGGCTCCGGTGATGAGAGCAGACTTTTCTGCCGCTTGTCGCCGCATCAGAGACACATCTCCTGCGAGCGGGAACAGAGCCGCCCCGCTGTGAGTCTGGAACCCATTTGGGGGGGCTTTCTGGAGGGTTGACGTGGACTGAGCTTGGTCTGCGGAGCTGAGTGTTGTTTGTTTCGGGCTGGATCCGGAGCGTACACACCGAGGGCAGCATGTCCGCGGAGCCGTACGTGTGCGCGTTCTTCAGACTAGTTCTACCCCTCACCCTCACCGCAGGTAAGCCGAGCACACACAAGTCAAAACAAGGTGCGACGTGATGTAAAACTCATCATTTGTCTGAATGTCACCACATCTGGAGCCCAGACTGACCTCTGACCCCCGAGCGCGCGCACGTACGAGTGCCCCGTGCGTAATGCTGCTTATGACATTTAACCTGAGCCTGGATCAGTCTGACGCCATGACAGACAGAGCATGAGCAGCACAAAACTCCCATAACCTCTTGGGCCAGGAGAAGTCTGGAGGGGTTGGTTTGTGACTCAGATGGGACATGGGACACAATGTGTGATCATAAATTAGTGAGTGTGAGCACAAACATGTGTTTGAATTATTTGAACATGAATATAATGTCCATATACGTGCTGGACCAGTGCAGTAGAAACATGTTGCAGTTCTCTGTTTTAAAACCACTGTGGTCAGACAGGCCATTTTTATAACTCCACAGCCTTGAGGATCTCTGGACACGTACACTTCACTCTGAAGTAAACAAACAGAACTTCAATGAACTTTCAGTGGATTAAGATGGTGCCCTCTGTTGGTATGTAGATTAATGACACACACACATATGTGGGTGTGTGTGTGTGCGTGTGCGCTTGTGTGTATCTGCGTGTGAGGTGATGGCAGGGAAAGCATACATAGAGCAACATAATCAAAGGTTGTGGAGAATGACCGAGCCAAGATCCTGTGGGACTTTCAGATACAGACTGACAGGATGGTGATGAACCAAACAGACATAGTGGTGGACAAACAACAGAACAAAGTCATGGTGGTGGAGCGAAGCTAACTTCAGAAAAAAGGAACACAAGAAACTACCAGGGGCTCAAGGAGGAGCTGGAGAAGGTCTGGAAGGTGAAGGCATCAGTGGTACCGTGGTGATTGGAGCACTCGGGGCTGTAACCCCCAAACTGGAGTATGAACACCTTACAGGTGTCAGACTCACGTTCAGTGAGAACACTTTTTTGCCTCGTATAAGCTGCGTGGACCGTGCCTCTAAAGCAGAACTAAAACCAGGACTAAACCAGGACTAAACCAGGAGGGTTGGGGTTGGGGGGGGGTGTCTTTAGTTGACTGCAGCCCTGCACTGTACTGGTGTGTGACCCGACTGAAATGTCTAACTTGATTTCGATACTAAGGAATAGACTTGATACTTTCAATGGGACTTTTTAGTATTGATACCTGCTCAAATGAGAATCTAGTTTGAATATTAGTTTGAGTTTGAGCTGTGTTTCCCTCATGTGGTTTTCATTGTCTGTTCCAGCCTCCAGTGTGAGGTTCAGCGCCTTTTCTCTGGTCTACGTCCTGCTGCTGCTTCTGCTGCCACTGCTACCCCAGCCAACTGCCCCCAACACAGGTAATACCCCAGCCAACTGCCCCCAACACAGGTACCCCACCCACACCAATACCCCCCAACACAGGTAATACCCCAGCCACCTGCCCCCAACACAGGTAATACCCCAGCCACCTGCCCCCAACACAGGTAATACCCCAGCCAACTGCCCCCAACACAGGCAAATACCCCAGCCAACTGCCCCAACACAGGTAATACCCCAGCCAACTGCCCCCAAACACAGGCAATACCCCAGCCACCTGCCCCCAACACAGGTAATACCCCAGCCACCTGCCCCCAAACACAGGTAATACCCCAGCCAACTGCCCCCAACACAGGCAATACCCCAGCCACCTGCCCCCAACACAGGTAATACCCCAGCCAACTGCCCCCAACACACTTAAGAGTGAGCTGAGGCGTCTTGTTTAGCTCCTTGGGTTGAAAATGTGAAGTGCTGACTCACACAATGATCTTGTCACACAGGAGCCTCCTGAGGTGGACTTTAGTCCATACATGAACATACTGCTGTGTGCCCTCCATCTGAGATGATTACATCATCAAATTCTACAGAGTGAATGTAACCTACAGCTGAGTTTCAGATGACATCACAACATTCTACAGGCTAATTCACCCCGTTTACATGAGTGCTTTAATTCTAATAAAAAATAATTTAATTATTAATAAAAAATGAATTCCTCTTTAAAAAAAGACCATGTAAACACTCGATTCCAAATGATTATTCGGAAATAAACTTATTCAGAATTAAAATTGCCTATGTAATTGCGAAAGGTACTGAGGTTCCCCATTAACACCTCATCCCAACTTATCATCATGAGGTCATAAAACAGCAACATGTGGCCTAGAACTTTACACAACTCACCACATCAGCCCGGAGCAGAAGCTCTGAGATCACGTAACAGCAGTAAATACACAGAAGCACTCACCATAGCACGCAGCTCGTCCTTGGTCTTGTGTCGTCCTCTGAGCAGGTTGGTCAGACAGGTCCATAGGCTCCGTCCTCCATGTGCTGGTCCAGACGGGGGCGAGTAAGACCAGTGGACCCGTGCGGCGGCGAAGTGAGTGCTGTGTGCTGTGGCTGCTCCTGTCCTCTGTGCTCCAGGACTGCGGCTGGTACTGAGGTGGTGCAAAACATCCGGACAGAAGCGAGAATTCTGTTTGGTTGGTTATATGTTGTTGAGCATCCGTCCTCTGTGCGCTTAGTTCTTCCCCAGGGAAAACACTTCTCAGGCCGAGGCTCCTAACACCACTCCCCACTCCAGCTCATCTGGGCCCAACCTGAACCAGAGCTGCTCCCGCTGGTTCAGAAGTCTGGGTTCGGACTGTTCCCCAGCCCATACAAACTGGGGAACAGTGGTACATCCCCACACAGAACAACAAACTGAGATGACAAAAAAGACGGTAGCAGCTCAAGTGTGTGTGTTTTCCTTCATTTGACGTAAATACATTCGTGTCTCTGTCCACTCAGAACCGTTCTCTATCCCCAGATGTTGGGCGGAATTAAATAAAGATGATTTAACGTGTTTTCCATGTAAACCTTAATTTGGAATTATTATTTCCATGTAAACTCAAAGGAGAATAATTTTATTCCAAATTAATTAATTCAGAATAATTAAATTGTATGTAATTATGTAAACATGGCCATTGTATGTAATACAAATGAGGACAACTGAAATAAACATTGTTAGAGTGCAGATTTGGTTCTAGTCACAATGATCAGGTTCAACATTTGGAGAGTTCATGTTAAAGTACAGTGGAATCAATGTGCTTCTTGCCCTGTCTGAGAGTCTGACATCATCACAGTCTGAAAAATTAGAATGTAGCTGTTCTTGTTTCCTTTGCTCTGCTGTGTCCAAAGATCCGATAGTTTAGAAAATTTGATTTATCAATTCTGTTTGCATAAAAAAACACACTCCTGTTGTTGATGCCCCATTGAGTCTGCTGGATCATATGTGTGCAGCTGCTCATCGCTGAGTCACACAGTCAGGGTCAGTCCAGCTGTGCTCCTCCGTGTGCAGTATTATTATTATAGTTCAGACAGTTGAGCGAGAGACATACTACACATGTGCATTCTTCTGGGCTGAGCTCACACCTGGTTTACCTGTGACATCACTCCCACACTCACACACACTCACACACACTCACACACACTTGCTGTGGGACGCACACATATTGATA